TCGCTCTTACATATTACTGCGAGGAGTCCATTATCGAAGGAGTGCGTGTGTTGATTCATTGTGTTGCAGTGCTTCTCCTTCATTCTGTTCCTGTTGTGTATTGTATGCATGCATGAATGTACTTGCACGCATGACTGCTTGTGAAGCGCGCGGCCCCCCACCTCCTCGTTGGTGTGCTTCGGAAACGTCTGGAATGGTACGTTCGCTTCCGGCTTCACGGAGTTTCCAAGTAACTGAAGGAAGTCGGTTGCTGCGAGCCGTTTCAGTCGGCTAAGAGGGGGCACGTACGGACGGACGCATGGTGCTCCCATCCTTATCTAACGTCTAATGAATCGTCTGTTTCCCGGACTTTGAGTCGGTCGTTTTGGCGAATGCGTGATTCGGAGTCTCCAGCTTTATCGACTCTACCGTTGTCTATGCACGTGAATGGGCTTATTGGAATACGTACGACAGGGGGAGTGGGAGGGAGAGAGACAGACACAGTATGCACAGAGAGAGAGAGAGAGAGAGAGAGAGAGAGAGAGAGAGAGAGAGAGAGAGAGAGAGAGAGAGAGAGAGAGAGAGAGAGAGAGGCGTTGGACTGCCATTATCTGCTTCGTCTTTTCCAAGAGCCTGCGGTCTCACAGCTGACTAAGTCAGCTGCATCCGGCTCATGGCCGCTGATCTCAGCAGGGTCTATGTGGCATATTGCGTAGCCACACGGGCCTGCAGGGCGCGACCAGACCGAAAATGAGGGCCCTAAAGGCCCTGTGTCGTTTCAGCCTGAAAGCCTGAAGGGTTTAGCAAGGCCATTTTTGGGCCTGTTTCGAGGCAACCTTTGTTTGAAATTCAACGCCAGGGTCTGGCACATTTCGGCAGTGGCATGAGCAGCCTCCATGCCGGACCAGCACTATGTAGTACTGGTCCGCCAGGCACTTCCCCTCCTCTTCGTCTGTGTACGTATGGGCGCATTCTTCCTGTGTAAGCGCCAGGTCCCTTCACACCCTGCGATGATGATGATGTATGTTTGGTCTGCATTGCGACATTGATTGTCGGATCATTGGTATAATCTGTCTCTTATACACATCTAGATGTGTATAAGAGACAGATGTAGTACTGGTCCGCCAGGCACTTCCCCTCCTCTTCGTCTGTGTACGTATGGGCGCATTCTTCCTGTGTAAGCGCCAGGTCCCTTCACACCCTGCGATGATGATGATGTATGTTTGGTCTGCATTGCGACATTGATTGTCGGATCATTGGTATATTAGCCTTCCGCGGCGCTATCTTGTACTATGTGAGAGAGGTCGGTTCTTGTTCTGGTCTGCACCTTTACGGTGTGCGACAGTCTACCGTTGTGTGTATAAAGATTCTTTTGTTTTCTAAGGAAAGCGTAGCCCTTCTGTGTACGTTTTGGTGGCCTTGTTTTTAATTAAGTTTGGCACTGTTTGCAGTTCCGAACAATGGCTCAGGAGTCCACGACCATTGCCAGAAGTTGTGAAATGGAAACCATCGAAATTGGTTTGCCAACTTTGCCCGGAAATGTTACCAGACAAAGGACTGCAACTATTGGCACTGCCGAGTAGGGCCAAACATGCTTATCCAAAGGCCAGGTGCAGAGATATCAGCCCCTCAGAAGCGCATGTATTCCGAGTGGGCTTGTCGGAATTAAGCTTCCAAGGACAGCACCAGAACAGGAATCGGCGAAGAGGCCTTGAAGGCCAGCCAGCAGGGAAAGGTACTGATGGTACCCAGTGAGTGCCCTCGCCGGCGGCCACCGTCCCTCATCCTTTCCCCCTCCTCCCGTGTCCTAACCTTGTCTCCCCTCTCATCCCCACCCGCCCTCCCCTTTATTCACGTCTTTAGTCTTTCTGTTCCTTATGCATGCCTTGTACTTGCGCCTTATTATCGCCTTACTCGCAACACTCTCATATCAGACCGTCTTACTTGCAGCACTCTCATATTATATTTGTGCTAAGCCCTGATTCCATGTGCCCCCTTAAGCTAATGTGATGTTTATCTTTGTCAATCTTTGTCTGTCTATGTCTATGTTTATCTATCTTTGTCTATCTTTGTCTATCTTTGTCTGTCTTTGTCTATCTATGTCTATCTTTATGATGTGCATGTGACTTAGTTGACTAATGACTCCTCGACTCTTGCATCTTTTGTGTATTTTTATGATATGCATGCGACTATTCAACTGACTAATTCCTTTGGTATTCACAAAACAATCCTCATGTCTTTATGATATGTGTAGCCATATTGTTTCCCTATTCCCCCCGATACCCAATATAGGAACCCGTGTTCTACTGATACTCCTCCCCACCCCCCCTTCTTTTGTGATACATTTCCCGATTCCTCCCCAGTCCCCTCCCGAAGTCCCGCGCCATCGAATGGGCCGAAGAAGAGGCGTCTCGTGTTTGCGTCGGTCCGAACCAACGCAGCATGGGGCTCCTATGTTCGTGTGAACGACATTCGATCCACCGGGGCAGTCGGCGGGCAGCAAAGTTCCTTACATAAGTCCCCTTGAAGTGCGGCCACCTTTAGGCTGTCCTGAAAGTATGCGATCACCTTAGCCGGTGCCGAGGAGTGGCCGTCCCTCACCATTTCGTTGTGACAACACCAGATCACCGACAGCGCTGTGGTCCTGAGGATCTCCATGGTCCTAACCTGGTCATTCCCGAGGCCCTGTACTGTCGTCTCCGGCAGGGATCCCAGTAGGACCTAGGCCTCATGCTGGCAGAGCCATGGGAGGGTATTCTACCGTACACATTGCAGCCAATTGTTCCGGAAGGCGTAGGCATCTGTGTCATCTGCGAAGGCTGGTGACCTGATGTTATGTGCTTGCACATGTAGGCCACAGATATGGGGCCCCGCTCGAATCATATCGTGTAAGACCACATACAGGAATCCATAGTGCCGGAGACATGGGGCACCCTTGCCTAACTGATCGCGTGGCTTCGAAAAGGAGCCGAAGTGTGACCATTGATCCAAATAGCCACAGCCGTTCGCAGGAGCTCCCCACCAACATTACGAAGACTTCCCCTATTCCTCGTGCTCCCCTATTCCTCGTGCTCCCCACCCACATTCTGTCGTCCGCCTTTTCAAAGTCGATAGATATACCTTGTGGCCTAGTACGCTGCTGGCGATATCGATGCCAGCATTAACGAGGCAGAAATCTTGTTTATCATGGCAGGTTCTTGATATAGCCATCAGTGTCTGCGGGACCATCCTCCCTTTCTTTGTTTATCATAAT